AACCAGTTTAGTCCAGGAAATGTATAATTATCACTGGGATATCTTTATATTCCTAACCACTTTATTCAGTAAATACCTACATGTGTCAGGTTTGTTAGATTTTGTTTCCTGCTTTGGATCTACTGAATTAAAATGGAGTTAAAAGAGAGGCCTACTAGACTTCAAATTTCTGCAGGTGTCCCTAGGGGTGGGACTGTGTTCATCTGACCCTTAGGAGAGAAATCTGTGATACACAAGTACAATATTTTTTAAAACTTTTGTTGTTTGTTTTTGAAACAGTCTCTCTAGCCCTGGCTGTCCTGCTTTCTGGAACTCAATATGTAGACCAGACAAGCCTTGAACTCACAGAGGTCCTCTTAGCCCTGCCTCCTGATGGCTGAGATTAAAGGCTTTAATTTTTTAAATTACATTTATCCAGTATGTGTGTGTGTGTGTGTGTATTTAGATGCATGCTTGCCACAGTACAAATATGGAGATCAAATAAAAACATTGTTCTCTCCTTCTGACATGTAGATCTAATAAAAATTGTATTTACCTAGGGTCTGAGCTCAGGTTGCCAAGTTTCATGGCAGCTTTATCAGCTACATCATTTTACTGACCAGATATAAAATTCTTGTCCAGATAGTGGTTCAAGATACATGAGTAGATCGAATTGCTCAGGATGAGCTATCTGGTTCTCAGTCTGAAAAATTACAGTAAATGATACTTAAGTTACTTTATCTGGATCCCTGAGTGTTTAGGACTAGATTAAGGCCAGATAGAATTTTGGGCACTCCCAAGGTACAGGGAGGTCTCTGGAGAAAGTCAAGGATTAAAACAGAAGTAAAAAGTTAAAGAGAACAGTGTTGGAGAAATAGTTCGGTAGTTAAGAGTACTTGTTGCTCTTGCAAAGAATCCGGTTCAGTTTCCAATGGTCGTTACCTAACTCTAGTTCGAGGGGATCTGACTGCTTCTTCTGACCTCTGTGAGTAGAAGCATGCAGCTGGTGCACAGACATACTTGCAGGCAAAATACACAAATTTTAAATTAAGAAATCTAATAAAAGTTGTATCTACAGGGACACATGCCCCTGATCTCAGCCCTCAGGAGGCAGAGGCAGGTGGCTCTCTGATTTCGAGGCCAGCCTGCTCTACAGAGGGAGTTCCAGGACAGACATGGTTTTTTTGTCTCGAAAAAACAAAACAACAAAATGTTTCTTTAAGTGTAGAGAACAAGACTGAACTCTGAATGAGCTGACAGGCATTAACAAGAAGTGGGAAGGGGAGCCAAAGCGGGTGCCACAGAGGCAGGCGGAGCTCTGTAAGTTCTATCCAGGCCTGCCAAGGATACCCAGGTCAGACTGTGCGGTGGCGCACACCTGTAATCCCAGCACTCGGGGAGGCAGAGCCAGGTGGATCTGAGAGTTCGAGGCCAGTCTGGTCTACGAAGTGAGTCCAAGACAGCCAGAGCTACACTGAGAAACCCTGTCTCAATAATAAATAAATAAATAAATAAATAAATAGATAGATAGATAGATAGATAGATAGATAAACAAACAAACAAACAAACAAAAAAAGCACGGCTGAGTAGAATAAATCAGGGAGAGGGGCTGATAGTTTGTCCATTCACCAGATAATTTGTTCTGTTGCTTGGTGACGCCAGGTAGGGAACTGTAACTGAAAGGCTACCTAGGAGGAAAAGTATCTCTGGAGCTTGAGAGTAAGTAGACTGGAAGAATTAGACAGAAAATAGAATGGGGAAGATGCCCTTGGGCATGATATGTTGAGATAGTTGAGTATTCTATACCTAGGTTCAGCTCCAGCCCAGCCATAGCTGCACAGCTTTGGGTATTTTGCTCACCCTTCCTAACACTCCAGTGTAAAGTGGGGATAGTAACAGTATCATCTCAGAATAAATGCATCAGCTGTGTAAGAATGAATATTCAAGTAGGGCAGGAGGCATTTAGTCCTTCTAGAGGCAGAGAGTGAATCTCTAAGGACAGACGGTCTACCTAGTGAATTTCAGGCCAGCCGTGCTGTCTCAACAAACAAAAATCCAAATTAGGGGCCAGGTGGTAGTGGCCTATGCCTTTAATCCCAGCACTTAGGAGGCAGAGGCAGTGGATCTCTGTGAGTTCGAGTACAGTCTGATCTACAGAGTGAATTCCAGGACAGCCAGGGCTATACAGAGAAACTCTCGAAACTTCCCTCAAAAGAAAAAGAAAGAAAGAAAAAAAGAATTGTATTAGCTAAGGTATGATTATACAAATTTATGTGATCTAAGAATATTTTATTTAGTTTTGGCTTTTTGAGACAAGGTTTTACTATACAGTCTTGACTGGCATATAACTTGACAGAGGACAACTTGGGCATGTTGGCGGAGGTTGGGGTTGCTGGTTCTCTCTAACTGTGGACCTTCAGGATTTAACTCAAGGTATGACATCAAACACCTTTAACCACTGAGCCAAGTCATTGGCCCCTTTTATACTTAAAAATAATTACTTTAGGTTTGTGTATGTGCCAGGCCTGGTGACACACTTTTACCCCCAGCACTCAGGAGGTAGAGGCAGGCAGATCTCTGAGTTCAGGGCCAGCCTGGCCTACAGATGGAGCTCCAGTATGCCTGGGACTACATAGACATAGACCCTGTCTCAGAAAAATGGTGTGTGTGATGTGCACACATGTATATGAGTACAAGTGCCCATGGAGGCTAGAAGTGTCAGGTCCCCTAGAGCTGGGGTTACGGGCAGTTATGAGCCTACTCTGTATAGGAGCTGGGCGCTGAACTCTGGCCCTCTGTAAGCGCAATACTCTTTCATAACTCTCTCTTCCACCCTTTACACTTTTTGCCTGGGCTCTGGGAGTTGATGTTTGTTTGTTAGGCTTCCATGACTAGTGCTTTTCCCCCACTGAACCGTTTCCCTGGCCCCACTTTGTGTTTTGGGGCATGATCTCTCACTGGGACCTGGGGCTCACCAGTTTGTGATTCTGGCTGGTTCCATCTGGGATTACAGGTGCTGGCCACAATGCCCAGCTTTTTTATGTGGGTTCTGAAGATGGAAGTCAGGAAATCAGGCCTGGTAGCAAATGTCTTTACCCGATGAGCCATCTTGCCATTCCACTCCCATGGAATTTTCTGATAAGATATGTTGAAATCAATTGGTTTCACATTTATTTTGTATGGAGGGTGTGTGTGTGTGTGTGTGTGTGTGTGTGTGTGTGTGTGTGTATGAGACCTCTGGTTGCCAGAGAACATCTTGCAGGGGTCATCTCCCTTTCTGCTGCTCTGAGGATCACTTAGGCTGTCAGGCTTAGGCAGCAGGTGCCTTTTCCTGCTGGGTATCTCACATACTGAAGAGTAGCTCATCTGTATCTGTATACTGTAGTGTATGGACACATTTAGTATGTTTTAAATTTTCATGTTGTAGAACTAAAATATTACCAAACCTACTGTTCCCTCCCCACCATACCACTTTTGTGACACAGGACGCATCCTTGGCCCTGGAAGAGGAAGGGTTAGGTTGAATTCCCTTGCCTTTCTTTCATCAATTTAATTGGTTGTATTTGTTGTTAGCTATGATTAGTACAGAAAGGGGACAGAAAGCTCCCAGGCTACTCAGTTTCACAAGACACACTTCAGGGAAAAGAAAGTCTGGTATTTCTCAACAATATCCAGGGCTTTGGAAACATTCCTGAGGTGGGGGGGGGGTCTCATTCCTAGAGAGGACATGCCTACCATAGGTACCCCACAATCAGAGAAAGGCCAACTGGTAGGCCCATGAGTGATCTCAGCCCAGCACAGGAGCCATGATTTATGGTGGTGGGGTTCCCCGTCTTGGTGGGAGCTTTGGCAGTCACAGCAGTGGCTGCTGCAGTCCGTCCTTGTGGTATTACTACTTGCCAGGATGTCACTCCAGCTACTCAGACATAGCCTTCTGGGGTTAGGCACATTAGCTGGTCCTCCTCTGCTAACTGTTCTTCCAGTCCCAGGATCTCCAACAGGAGGAACAAGTGGCATCCAAACAGTACCAGTATCTTTAGAGAGCTTTTCACAGCAAAGGATAACAAGTTCTCCACACACAACCATACTAAAACCTGTTTTTCTTCATACTCTGGCTGTTTAGCATCCTGTCTCGTGATTTTGCTGACCTCATCACAAACCCCAGAGGATCAAATTCGTATGCTTGTCCACAGCTTAAAGGTGTGATAAAGATTCAACAAATGGCCATCTCAAAGGACATCCCTCAGCCTGTAGTCAGCGAGCTGCAGCATGTGTTCTTATGTCCTTCTTAGTTCATCATAACTGCTGTTCCACAATAGCCAAGATCCTTACTATCTGGGGAGGGTATAAATGAAGGTGTGATGTAGGTTTTCTCAGAAACAATGCAAGCTTGGCAGAAGATTTACAAACAGTGCACGGGTGCTTGCTTGCTCTCATCAAATTGAAAGTAGTACATCAGAACCAGGTGTCAGGCATCTCCAAACTGCCTCTCCTCTGTGCCTTGCCTTTGTTTTTTGCCTGCAGGTAGTGGGCAGCAGTCAGTGACAGGTGTAACCTCTGTGGATGACAGCAACAGTTACTGGAGGATACGGGGGAAGACTGCCACAGTGTGTGAAAGGGGAACGCCCATCAGATGTGGCCAGCCCATCCGGCTGACACATATCAACACTGGCCGAAACCTCCACAGCCACCATTTCACCTCACCTCTGTCTGGAAACCAGGTGAGGTGGCATGCGATGGGGATGGGTTACCCCTGCTCTGCCCTGGTCAGTTGACTTGTTTGATCTCCTAGTTCTTAACTACTTTCCTTCCTTCCTTTTTTTTTTTTTTTTTGTTGTTGTTGTTTGTTTGTTTTTGTTTTATTTTGTTCTTTGTTTTTTGAAGACAGGGTTTTTCTGTGTAGCCTTGGCTGTCCTGGACTCTTAGATCAGGCTGGCCTGGAACTCACAGAGATCCTCCTTCCTTCCTCTGACTCCCCAGGTGCTGGAATTACAGGCGTGCACACAGCCATTCCTTCCCTTTTAGATATGGGACACTTCACGAATGTGTGTGTCCTCCTTGAGCAGGGACTGTGCTGATCTCAGTATCATTCCAATTTTAGTATATGTGCTGCTATTAGGAACACATTAACCCTTTTCTTTCTAGGTATAAGTGTTCCCTGTTTTTGCAGACTTGGAGAAATGGCTGTCTCCTAAGTGTAAAGAAGATTGACCCTGGTCAGAGACTTTACACCCAGACCAAAGCCAGAAATGGGCAGGGAAGGTGGGGTAGGGTACACCAGCATAGCAGCACAGTTCGACAAATACTGCCGTATAACCAGTGTTTCCATATTTACAATAAAGAGTTTTGCAGGGCTGGAGAGATAGCTTAGCAGTTAGGAGCATTGGCTGTTCTTCCAGAGGATTCAGTTCAATTCCCATATGGTAGCTCATGATTGTAGCTCTAGTACCAGGGATCAGACAATCACTTCTGATCTTCTTGGACACCAGACACTCAAGTGAGGCATCAACATACTTGCAGTCAGATACTTGCATTCATAAAAACAAAAAATAAGAATACTGGGTTTCACCGGGTTTGGTGGCACATGCCTGTAATCCCAGTGCTCAGGGAGGCAGAGGCAGGCGATTGCTGTGAGTTCGAGGCCAGCCTGGTCTACAAAGTGAGTCCAGGAAAACCAAGGCTACACAGAGAAACCCTGTCTGGAAAAGAAAAAAAAAAAAAAAGAATACTGTTTTTTTTTAAATGAATTTATTTATATTTATTTATTATTACAATTTATTCACTTTGTAGCCCAGCTATAGCCCCCTCCCTCATCTCCTCCCAGTCCCACCCTTCCTCCCTCTTCTTCCCCTAGTCCACTGATAGAGGCAATCCTCCTTCCAGAGGCAATCCTCCTTCCCTTCTGTCTGATCCTAGCCTATCAGGTCTCATCAGGACTGGCAAGACTGTAACCCCCAGCGGGAGGTCATCAGAGAGTCTGCCACTGAGTTCATGTCAGAGACAGCCCCTGCTCCCCTTTCTAGGGATCCCACTTGGAAACTGAGCTGTCATGGGCTATATCTGAGCAAAGGGTCTAGGTCCTCTCCATGCATGGTCCTTGGTTAGAGTATCGGTCTCTGCAGGACCCCCTGAGCTCAAGTGTTTTGGCTTTGTTGGTCTTCTTGTGGCGTTCCTGTCCCCTCCAGGTCTTTCTATCTCTCCCTTCTTTCATAAAATCCCCTGTACTGTGCTCAAAGTTTGGCTATGAGTCTCTGCATTTGCTTCGATACCCTGCTGGGTAGTCTTTCAGAGGTCCTCTGTAGCAAGCTCCTGTCCTGTTCCCTGTTGTCTCCTACTTCTGATGTCTTTCCTGTTTACCCTTCTGAATGAGGATTGAGCATCTTCCCTAGGGTGCTCCTTGTTGTTTAGTGTCTTTTAAAATACTGTTTTTTGTTTGTTTGTTTTTTGTTTTGTTTTGTCATAGATGTCCTAGGAGCAGTGGTTCTAAACCTATGGGTTGTGACCTCTTTGGGGTTATCAAATAACCCTTTCACAGGGGCCACCTACAACCATTGGAAGCCACAGATATTTTCCATTATGATTCCTAGCAGTAGCAAAATTGCAGTTATGAAATAGCAACAAAATATTTTTATGGTTTAGGGTTACCACAACATGAGGAACTGTATTAAAGGGTTGCAGCAGTAGGAAGGTTGAGAACCTCCAGCCTAGAACTTGCTAGGTAGACCAGGCTGGTCTAGAACTCACATAGATGTCTTGTTTCTGCCCCTTGAGTGCTGGGATTAAAGACATGGATCACTACACATGCCAAATTGTGTTATTTGTATTTGAGACAAGATCTTATGTAGCCAGGACTAGCCTCACACTCACTATAACAAGGCTGGTCCTCAACTCCTGAACTTCCTGACCAGTGCTTATAACCCAGTACTTCTAAAGTACTTCTAAAAGTACCGGGTTATAAGCATTGCTACCATGCCTGGTTTTAGGCTGTGCTAGGGACCAAACCCAGGGCTTCATGAATGCTAAAGAAAGCATTTTACCCACTGAGCTGTATCCTAGCCTCTGATTATTGTGTGTATGCAGTACTTATTTATCTGAGGTAGGATTTTGCTATCGTGGATTTGTTCTCACCATATATCCCAGGTCTACCTTGAGCTCAGAACATTCCTCCTACCTCAGCCTGCTAAGTTTTGGAATTACAGGCCTACCTTACGATGCCTGACTAGAATTATTTTTGTGTGTGTTTGAGTGTTTTGCCTGTACGTATATTTGTGCGCTGTGGTGTGTGCAGTGCCCTTGGAAGCTAGAAGTAGGTGTCAGGTCCCCTGGAACTGGAGTTACAGATAGTTGTGAGCTGTCATGTGGGTGCTGGCTAATGAAGCGGGGTTCTCTGGAAGAGCAGCCAGTGCTCTT